TTGAAAATGATTTTATGGTGCTTATATGGAAAGCTTTTGAAGCTAGAAGAAGATTGCTGAAACTAATAAAAAATACGTTAATGGGAAGCTCTTGGGCATTTCATAATAAATATAGCCCTCTTGGGCAAAGGATGAACTGTAGAGTATTTATTTATTCCACAGCAACAAACTCTCCATGCCTATTTCTGCTCCATTGAAAGTAATCCTTGGAAGTCAACTATATAGACATATCCCTCTTCTTTATTATTATTATTTTTAAGGGATTTGATAGAGAAGTGAGAAAAATCCAATTGCCATCTACAAATGACCTTAGGGATTTTCAGAGATTCTAACATTTTTTCCCCTTTTAAAAATATCTACAGGCTTTAGCTACATCTGAAGTCTTTCGGAATAGTGATGTCAGCTTGTCTGTTTTTAATGAAAAGACGGAAAGATGTGGCATTCTGCTTAGCCTTAGATTGCTTGGTCACTCCTGCATACACACATGGAACTCAAGGCTAAGGACAAATGGGGGCAAAAACTAGCTCAAGGTTTTCATAAGCAGGCAGTGAAACATCTATCACTCAGTCCTCTATTGTGTCTGCAGATAATTCCTTATGCTAAAAAGCTTCTTGCATTCCTGGCCACCGGACTGCCTCTCATACATTAATAACACCTGTCACAAGATTTTGAGATATACTCAAACAATTTATTTCCCAGTGGGGCTCTTATCTAAACAAGATCAGTCTTCATATCTCTCTCCATTTAGTCAGGATTTTTATAGAAGCGTATCTGATTGGTATTATCTGTGGCTTTCTATTTCTCAGTTGGGAACAGGCTGTGTGTGTGTGTGTAGAGAAAATATGGAGTGTCGTGGGAGAAGAATTTCCTTTGCAAGACATGAAAGAAGGGAGCTGGCGTGTGTGCTTGAGTGTGTGTGTGTGTGTGTGTGTGTGGATGCATTTGATCAGGTGGAACTAGGTAGACCCCCATTAACCTTGCTACTGAAAACATTGTTCTTAGGTTGTTTATTCAGGGTGTTCTTGGACTGCCCCTAAAGCAATTCAGTAGATTTTCTAAAATTCTTTGAAGAAACTCATGGCATGATTCCTCCCCTCCTGCATGCATCTCTGCATGCTCTATGCAAGGAATGGGCTCTTGAAAGGGGCTCTCTTGAGTACCTTCTGTTATCAGCAGACCGCAGGGAAGCCCTGGAGAGCAAGTCGTTGGAGTGGATACCTCTGTCTGAAGCGTAGAAAAGTCACTGTAATGTTCAGCTGTGTCACACTGAGTGCTGGGCCTGCCTGCAAAGTTACCTATGGAAGTTACCTATGGAAATCCCTTTCTGCATACATAGTTCCATACTGTATGCCTTAAGCAGTTATAATCTTTCACAGAAAGATACAAACACTTGATTGCTCAGGGGCTTGTTCAAAACAAAAGGCACAAATGTATGTTTTTTTGACTACTGAATAGATGATGCAGATCCTTTGTTACTTCCTTTGCTACTTTTACTGTATATCTGGCAAGCTGTTCAGGGTGATTGATGGATGGATCTTATAGACCACTTCATTAGTCCTATCGGACTCTCCAAGTAGTTCACAATCATAACAATAAAAACAGATAATAAAGCAGTTAAAACAATATACATATAATAATATGATAAATATAACACATATAACAGCTGTGAGAATTAATCCAAGCACAGTGAGTTAAGATGATAATTTTTTTAAAATTATTATAAAAATCACTTATTAAAATGTCTGAAAAATAAAACTGTTTTCATCTGGTGCCAAAATGATTGTAATGAAGGCACCCGGAGAACTACTGTAGGGAGGCTAAAATTTAGGCCAATATTCAGCCAAAAGGAGTCATTAATTGTGTGATGATGCTTGGACTTTTACATTGTGCTTGTGCATAGGTGGCAGCATTTCAGAAGTATGTCATCTTTCCTACCAGGGCTTTCCTGCCCGATTCAAAAAGGACCTTCAGGGATAGGCAGCTAGATGGGATGATATGACCAGGCAGGCATTTACAAGGGTCCCCTGGTCAAAGGGAATGCCTCTCCCTTTCATTAAATCAAGAGGCACATGTACCTTGGGAAGCACTTGACTCGGAAGCATCAGAGCCTGCTTCTTTGTTCCTGGCACCTAATCCAGCCTTTTTTCCTGGAAGACCAGAGATTCCAGAGCCAAGGTTGCAGTGGTATAAAATGCACAAAAATGGAGAGACAGCACATCTGAGGCAAGTCTGTTAAGTCTTTGTAGCAGGTTGGGGGGTTATGGGAAGAGAAGAGGGCAAAGTGTTGGATGTCCCCACACATCTATAAAGAAGCTTGATAATTGTGTCTCTGAACTTTTCCTGTTGTTTCTAGCTGAATATTTAAATAGCTTCAAGAATGCTTTGCTGAGGTGTGGTGATACTTTCAGACACAGTTGTTTCATGGAGTTTTACACCTGGCAATGTGATAAGGTGTGCTGGATATTTTCTGACATCACAGCATCCTCATCATAACACTGAAAAGTGCACAAGATGGGTCTGTCAAAGGGTCCTCACATTCTGTGACAAATCCCTTTATCTTTGAAATATCTTTGAAGAGTAGCAGTGGATACTATGGGGGTGTCTTTGGCAGGGGGTGGAAAATGGGTATGCTTGATCAGATTCTGGGATTCTAGAGGAGCCTGGACTACAGACTTTACATCATCCAGCATGATTCAGCTCTACACGACTACTTATTTTGAACTTCACATATATTTATTTGCTTTTGAAGAGTACATTTATTTTTATTGAATTGCTCTTTTTCTGTCTAAGAATCCATCTCTTTTTAAAAACATCTTTTTTTAAGATTGAGAACAGCAAGTGGTCAACTAATAAGGATTAGGAATGGGGAGGTTTTATTTAATTCAGTTTGTAAGCTGCTTTAGTCAGTGAAATCCCTTAAAACACTGAGATTATATTTTAATGCTACTGACACACTACCTTGATGTCTACAGTATATAAGGCTTTTACAGCGTATTTTGAAAGACGGTTATGCATTTGTATACAGTATACGTAGAACATCAGAATATTATATTTCACAAGTGTCAGTTGTATCCCTCCCATATTCTCAGCTTTTCCATTTATTACTCTGAGATCGGATGCAAGATTTTAAATGATTTGCAAAAGATTAGATGGAACCCTTTAATAAATCCTTAAGGAATTGTAGACAATAATAGGGACAAACATTGGGCAACAGAGACTGCAGTCTATTTGAAGGCATTGGTAAGAGATTGAAAGCCAGTGGTGTGTGCTGGAATGTTAAGCTGAGGATACAGGAGATACAGATTCTACCCTTCAGTTGGTCATGAAGCTAACTGGGTGACTTTGGGCCAGTCACTCCCAGCCTCAATGTTGTAAGAATAAAAAGGAACTATGTAAACCACCTTGGGTTCCTCGCAAGAGGGAAAAAAGTTGGGGATATAAATACAATGTAATAATAATAAGACATTCACTCTCTCTTTCTTGTCTTTTGGCATTTGATTTACTGAATGGATACCACAAAGCTACAAGAAAGAACGCCTTTATGCTTCTGAACCCAGTTCAGGTTGCTGTTTTTTAACCTACAATATAAATCACTAAGTTTCTTGGGACCAGATGGAATGCCTTTCCCAACTGCAAACAAACTATATGTTAGGATCACAGTCTGGGGCCTGCCTCTGACTTCCACCTCTGAGAGAGACTCAGTCAGTGGCAACAAGGAGAAGGGCCTTTCCAATGGTAGCCACCCAGTTATGGAACAAGCTCCTTGCGAAGGCCCACCAGGCCCCATTTCTGCTATATTTTTGGTGCCAGGTTTATTTATTTATTTAAGACTGTCTTCTATGGCAGGGCATTTGATTAGTTTTATATTGGGGGATTATAGCAACTGCTTAACAGATCTTGTGGTTTAATTTGTGTAACTTATTATACCTTTTCCATTTAGTTTTAAATGTGGCTTTTAAATTCTGTACTGTAATTTTATGATGTTTTTATTTTTTTTTCCTGCTGTTATGAACCACCCAGAGAGCTTCGGCTGTTGGGTAGTATAGAAACATAATTAATATCAATAGCTCTGAATGAAGGAGTTTTCCTAATTTATCTTTTTAGCAGAAGCAGGTCTCATAAATGCAAAGTGGAAATTCATAGACATCATTTCAATGTTTCTCTTCATGGAAGGAAAATAGTGAGATTTGCAGGTTAAGTATAATTAGGAACTTACATTATGGAATGACTTACAAGTTGCTTATGCCTGGTTTAGCCATATATTTGATAGTCAATTGGTTTCTTCTCAAAGAAAGAAGAAAAATTCACAAGGCCATTCCCCGTTTCCTGAGAAGAATCGCTATTTTACAATTTATGGCAGCATAAAAAGAAACAGTACTGTGCATATTACTTTCAGATTCATGGAAATTCTTCGGCCACCCACCAATCCTACTGATGAACCACATATTAGCCATTAACCATGGAGGGTTTTTAATATATTAAGTGTTACAGAAGTAGCTTTATGAAATGCAATTGCATGAAATGTATAGAAGGCAACGGTAAAGATGCTCTGTGCTTTTGAAACATGCATGAAAAATGAAAAAAGTCCAGGTTTCCCAGTTGCCCTGGCCCTAGGCTTGCTATGGCTGCATCTGTTTAAAAGACTGCAGACGCCACCTGTCGCTGGGATGCATGTTCTTGGGCAAGTTAGTTATCTTGGAGCTTCACCAGTTTGCTTTTCAGTGTCCAATGACTGCTGAATCCCCCATTTTGAGATGGTGTCCATGACATTTTCCCAACATTGCAGATGTGTCCCCGGCTCAGCAAAGGCTGGGGCTCCAGAAGACTTCCTGCTTTTGCATGCTGATGGAGCAGGTCAAGTCCTCTAAACAAATGTTCTGATATTTGTACATTCCACATAAAGGCAAAAAGCCTTACTGTTTAGCATCAGATAAACCTTATGCAGGGATTGCAGTGCAGGCAGAACAAAATGCATCCTCACCCTCTTTTCTCCCTTTCAGGAGTCCTGTGTTGGTATTCCAGTGCATTCATCACCATGTCATTTGCCTGGACTGTTTTCATTTATACTGTGTGACTATGCTGAACAATCGCCAGTTTGTCCATGACCCCGTCCTTGGCTACTCCCTCCCATGTGTGGGTAAGTTGTCCAGTATGTTTTTCCTCATATTACTTGATAAATGATGGAAGTAAATTACTGGCTTAAAATACCTCTATTTCTATCGCTTGTTTGAAATAAATTCACGAGGTTATAATTTGCCTTAGCATTTTCTCCGTTTGATAGACTGCCTATTGGTTTTAGAAAACGTCTTGTAGCTCTCTGGTGCTGTCTCTGCAGTAATGGAACTTGATTTTAAAGCACATTTCTTTTATAAGCATATACATATATTTTTCACATTAGTATTTCATCATCATCAAGTGCTAAGTGATGAGAGCTATAAAGTGCAGGCAAAGAAAAGAAAAAGCCGAATGACCTCCACTTCCCTTCTTTCGAGACAAATAAGTTGTTAACTTCATTGGCCTATCTTTGAGAGTTAATAGGAAAAGTACTGTAAGAGAAATTTCAAGTAACCTTCCTAGCTCATGAAGTTATCTCTGCTAATTACCACAGTGCTGAGTGCAAGGCTGATCACCCAAACCATTTGTTAGCTGAAGTATCCTTTCTGCTTGCCTAGAGAAAGAAATGTGGGTTAGACTCAACAAAAAGTTGGCTATTCTGAAAGAATCTTTCCAATGAATCAGAAAATAAGGATGTTGACCTTTACCCAAACTGAAAGAAGATTCTTGAAAAACAGCCAATGGGGATACATTTCTTTTTTTGCTATCTGCCTTCAAATTTGCTGGCAGTGCTATGTTTTAACCTTCTTTTGCTCTGTAAAGAATAGGAAAGTAGGCTTTGTTCTTCATTGGTTTGCACTGTAGGATGAGTAAAGTATTAAGCAATAAATGTGCCTGTTGCTAGGATGGGTTTAATATTTAACTTCTTTTGGATTACCTTGGTTTCTGTTAGAAGTGGCCACAGATGGGTTTGCAAGGCAGGCCCATTCCTGCAATTGGGGAGAAATTGACTGCTTGTCTTGGGCAGCAGTTTCCAGGGAGTTAAAAGGTGCAGAACAGCAAACAGTGAATTTTCAGTTATTGTAATATTTTTACCACCACTGGTGGTGGGGCTACTACTCACATTTTCATTTCTAGGCAGGACATTGTCTTGGACTATTTGCCAAGGAATTGTGGCAAATTAATTTTGTGGTTTGAGGCCCACTGGGAATTTACTTCTATGACATCAAAGGGGCAATATATCGCATTTTGACTGAAATGCTACTGCTTGCAGCTTCTCTTCTTCCTTGTCCTCCTTAGTATGGATTCTTTTGTTCTGTTTAGTTGACTACTGTTCTATACCACAGAATTTTCAGTACAAGTATTGATACACTGTATTTATTGCTGTTTTCTAGCAATCCATAACATTTATAAGTTAATGTTTTCCTTCCAAAGTGTGATGTGGCCTTTAACAAATCCAGTATTTTTTGTAGTATTTTCTTTCCAAAGTGTGATATAGCCTTTAACATGCCTGAGCCCATGTTCAGCATGTGCTTAGGACTTAACTAGAAGTCTTCTGACTCCCATGTCACTTTTCTCCATCAATTTTTAAAATGAAAAGCAGTCTGTCCTTCCAGTTCTGATTAGGAGTGGAAGAAGAACAGGAAAAGCTCCTTAACCCTTTCCCCTCCTGAAGCTTCTCTGCTAAAGAAAAAAAAATAGTCCATTCTGCCACTTTTGCTCCTCATGGAGACCTCATATTTTTTCATGTTTAGTCATGAAAACAGATAGTTGTGGGTGGTTCAGAAAAGGATAAGCTACCACTGCTACTGCTTTGTTCCCAATAGTGTCCTTCCATGGCTGCTTTTCATTACAATGGTAATAGAAACATAAAAACAAAGCAAGTCAAAAGGGGCCTCTAGGACCATCTAGTCTAACTTCTGGCTGCAGCTGGCTCTGCTTATGTAATCCCCAACATGTGGTTGTCCAATCTTTCCCTGACTACCCTCACTGGTGAGGCCTCAACCACCTCCCTTGGGGTAGAGGAAGGCCGTGGCAAGTTGTGTCTAGGTTAGCAATAATTCAACTCCATGAAATTGTCACAGTACACTGTTGCCCATTAAAGTATCTGAGAATGGCCAACGGCATCTAGGACCTGACCAACTAAGCCAGTAACTAGTCTTGTGAAATGATGGCCTTGTTTCATATGATAATCTGTGGAAATATGCTAATGTCAACATTCTGGAGCAGTAAAAAGAATAGTGAAAATAGCTCCAAGTAAACTGGTTTCTTGATAGTAGAAATGATAAGTTTTTATATATTTTGCATATTAAGGTGGAAAATTTCAGCTGAAGAAATTATTGGCATTCATTTCATTGTCCATTGTAACATCGCAATTCACTGTTGCATAAACTGTAGAGAAAAAAAATGAAATATTTTAGTTAATGAAATTCTCTGGAATCCCCATACTTTATATAGAACTGATTCCTAAGAAATGACAATACGATGTAAATTTAATGCAACAGTCGTCCGTGGCTGCCTGATCTCAAGTCCCTTGCTAAAGCAGAACAAAACCACTATGAGATCAAGCCCCCTGTCATTTATGTACAAACATATTGTATGAAATTATTTTAAGTATGTCGTGAAATTGTCTTTTTTACAATTTTCTTTTTTGCTTTCTTTGGGGATATGTACTCAAATATCTTCATACTACAGAAGATTGTGGTTTTTTCATTAACATGGTTTAGTTTGCTTAAAAGGGCAAATTAGTGCTGCTCATTCTGATGATGTTTTGACAAATTTATGTAGCATAACGATCATAGCAAGCAGTTTCCATTAACATTTGACTCTCTGCTTCTGATGGTATCTAGAGAATGTTCAGACTTTGCAGAATTTTCCGAATATCTTTCCTTGTATCAGTCTAGAGGCCAATGATTGACAAGAAAAGCAACAGGCTTTACACCACTGCATCACTGTAACTGAGAATAGTGAAGACTCAGCACAGATGCACAGCAATTTGCATGAAATTTGCAATGCAAAAATGCATGTCATTCTAGTAACACTCTTTTCTTCGTTGTGGCCTCTGTGCATCACACATATGGGTTCTGTGCCTGCGCAGTGCCTTTGGCCGGAAGATTAACAGCTAACAGTTTTTGGCGGGAACTCCGCTCCCCTCCCCCCTAGAATTATATAAGGAGCGGAGTGTCCGCCATTTTCCAGTCTATGCGATCGCCGTTCGTTGTGCCTCGTGCCGCTTTGCTCTCGCTAAGATTATTACTTACCTTCTTGCTCGTTCGAAAATCTCTCCTTTTTCCTACCAAGTATCCCTTGTTCTTGCTGTTAGTACTTCACTTATATTTCTTCTTAACTTTGCACCATTTTTTCCTCTTTATCATTCCTATAAAAAAAAAAAAAAACCCAAAACCAAAAATATTACTTTCCCGCTTTACTATCTCCTTTTTTCTTCTTTCTATGATGGTGCAACGGGCAGCGTTCCGCAAGCGTGGAAAATGCGGCTCCAAAATGCCCGCCGCAGACCCGCATGATCTGTGCCTCCTTTGTTTGGGGGAAGGGCACAGAACCGATAAGTGCGGCCATTGTTTGGCCTTCTCTAAACAGGCGGGGAAGAACAGGGAGAACCACCTCCACAAACTCTTATGGGAGCAGGCTCTCCTCCAATCGGACCGGCTGGTGGCTAAGCCTTCCACTGTTGTGGCCCCACCCAAAGGCCATCCAACTTCGGCTGACCTGCCGCAACGCCCGGCCTCTTCCTCCATTGCTCCGCCCTCACGCCCTTCTGAAGAAGGCGCTCATACCATGGCCGACCAGTCTGTTTCCCTGCCAAGGAAAGAAAAGGAAAAAAGAAAGCACAGCGACTCAGATAAATATCCTGTGCATAAGAAGGCCAAGAAAGATAAGATGGGCAAGCCGGTTAAGAAGCCGAAGAACCCCGAGCAGGCAAAACACCGCCACTCGGGCTTGGCCTCTTCCTCGATTCCGATCCCTGCTTTGGAACCGACCCCCTCAGTCCCGACCATCTAGGCGGCTATGAGGGTTACCCCACCGGGCTCACCGCGCCGACCAACAGCCAAACCCATTCTGGATTCAAGGCGTGGTTCCATCTCTGATGGGGAAATACAAGATTCTCCACCTAGAGCTCGATCACCAACCCCGATGCCTCCAATCCCAATGGATACTGAGATCGCCATCTCCCCTCCGAGAAGCCGTAGGAGCCATTTCTCGGATGCGAGGTCTGATGATTGGTACCACTCCAGGTACTCCTCTGCTCCAAGACAGGAAGAGTACCACTCCGTAGCCTATTATCCGACCTCCAGGGGACAATCTTCACCACCAGCATCTCGGGAACGTTTCCATTCAACGCCCAGAGACGCCCCGAGGGCCCCATCTAAAGAAAGTGGCAGATCAGAGTCACCAGGAGATTCTTCCTCCAGTGTACCACCCCCCTACTGGATGGAATCCGACGAGTCTGAGGCTGATTCGACCTCGCCGGATGCAGCGGTTGCTTCTCAGGGCCCGGGGTTGCCCAAGGAACCGTATATATTGTTTAACGATCTGATGGCCAGACTAGTGAGATCGCTCGATATAGAAGCCCACCTGGGACCAAGCACCGATCGTTTTTATGATGTGGTCAGGGGCGAACGATCCACATCTATTGCCTTGCCGCTTATTACGACCTTACGGCAGGCAGTGACCCAGCCATGGGACCTCCCAGCTCACCCACAGCCGACTTCTCATAAATACAAGTCCATGTATCGGGTGCAGGAAGAGGACATCCCGTTTCTTCTCCGTCACCCCAAGTCGAATTTGGTTGTTGTAGAATCCTCGCAGGGTCGGGAAGCCCGTGAACACACCTCGCCTCATGACAAAGAGGGCAGAAAGGTTGATTCCCTCGCCCGCCGGGTATACGCAGCTTCGGGCCTTGGTTTACAAATTTCTAATTATGAGGCAACCCTGGCGTGTTACCAATATTTCTGTTTGCAACGCCTGGACGCCATCATTGACACCCTCCCGGGAAGCCAGGGCGAACTTGCTAAGAATTTTGTTAAGGAAGCTATGCAAGTGGCAGTGCAACAGCTTTCCACT